GCAACCCAAACAGAACTCTGCCCGTTACCTGGCAACCCAAACAGAACTCTGCCCGTTACCTGGCAACCCAAGCAGAGGCCCTAAAACAGCCCATTCTGAAATGAGCTGAAACCAGACTAAAATCTCATTATCTGAATGATCTTTTGTGAAAACTGTAACGTGTTTTATTTAGCTCATAAACCGAGCACAACCTGTTCAAGGAATCTTAAAATATAACCTTTAAACTTTTATATTTTTAATCTTTCTGCATTTTTATTTATTTTTTTACTTAAACTGAGAATCCTTCAGAGCATCAAACGATAATTTACCCGACTTTAAGCAGCAACTCACCAGATTTCACCATGCAAAGATTTTTTAATATATATATTTATATAAGTTTGTTGGAAGTTATCGTCTAAACTTAGCCGTGTAGACGTGTTTGAGGAGGCGTGGGCACCGGGTGCTTCATGAGGTCTTCTTCTTCTTGACACATTAGAATTAGCGCTAGCCGAAGCTTTAGCTTGAGGAAAATAACCGACTGTGATGCAGTGAAACTTCTGAAGAGGTGGATTCACGCTTCTGCGGCTTTGACCTCACAAACCGCTTTACAGAGGCCGTAAAACACGGGACGGTAGTCTGTAGAGTCACTTTGGACAGGTAATTATGTTCAGACAATTGAAAACAGGATTTAATCGTATGTAAGCATATGAATCAAAGTGTTTTACTGTTTACCAGGATTTAAATGGATAAAGAGGTAACCAATGACCAGAGCAGATGTAAAATACAGATTTCTTTTAGATGGCTTCATTCCCCTGTTTTTCTCTCAATTTAAACAAAAGTTTCCTTCTTTCACCAAGTATTCACCAAACTTAATAGTAAATATTTAATTATTTTTTAAATATTTACCTTCCCCACACCATTCGCACACAGGCCGACAATAAGAACTGACTGACAGCCATTAGAGCTTTTTAACACAAGTTTATTTTTAGTTTTTTGTGCTAATTACTGTGAGAAAGCTACTCACAGAATCTGAAAGAATCTGCTTTGTAATCTCCCAAGATCCACCTGACGTTCGAAAAGTTTTAATTTCCAGTAAGAAATATTCAAAACGCTTTAAGAAATGGAGCTGATAGCGAAGGTTCAACCTGGAAGACTCCGCCCCCTCCGTTCGCCCATCGGCGTCATGCTCATCTCCGACCTCAGCTCTGGACCTCACCCGGCGCATCCAATCATCAATCAAGCTCTGCATAAAAGGATCCACACCCAAGCCGTCAGCCGGTTCCCAGCTGCGTTCAATCCACCACCTCCCCTTCTCCACCCACATCCTTCGGCTCTCCAGGATGGCACCCTTTCCCGACCTCCACCACCAGGGTCGGGCCCCGGGGGAGAGCATCCCTAATCGGTTATCGGGATGTTCATCGAGTTCACATCAAATCTCAGTTCAGATCAGCTGCCGGGACCCGAGCGCCAAAGAACTGTTATTCATTGCTGTCATTAAATCTTTTAATTGTTCCTTTTTCTTCGTCTGAGTCTCTCCAGATTGAAATCTTATAATTTACTTAAAAATTCAGACGTTAACAGGATCACAAGATACAAAAGTATATTTCTGAAGAAACCCAGAACATTTGACCCACGTCAAAAACAATTCTGCCAAACACTGAAAAAAACTGTTAAAGCACTGAATTCAAGAAAACACTAAATTTCACTTTGACAAGTTTAGTTGGAATTCACATCACTGACCAAATAATTGCACATTTTGGCATTTAGGAAATTCAATTGCTTAATGGAAACACACCAATTTTGAAAAACTGAAATTTTGCGCACATTTAGCGAGAAACAAGATGTTGTATGTCTTTTATATATAAATATCTGGTTTCCTCATAAAGACTTAAATATTTCTAAAGATGCTCCTTTCAGACTCATTTTCCAATTAAACATATTCAGTCTAATTCCTCTAATTCAGACTCATGTTTCAGTGAAGTTTGCTTTAATGTTCTGCAGATAACAATCCGATCCAATCATCTGTTTCTACATCCACAGATCCTTTATCTTATTTATATCCTTCCCCTTTTATCCTGTGAGTTTCTGTGATTTATATCCCGACTCGTCACGCTAACAATACGGTGAAAGTCACATAACAACAGCGGTCATCGCTGCCTGGGTCGCTTCCTTCTGCTCTTTCAAGGCCGACAGAAATAAGGTTTTTTATTGACTGACAGGGAGCAGAGGAGCCATTAGACTGCAGAGCTGAGATGCGACCACGGGGCGATTTCAATTACCCCGCTCTGCCCCGGCAGGAAGTCCCCACAAACAGATAAAACAACAATCAGGGCAAAGTATGCGGTGGAGTTCCAGGGATGTAATGTAGATTTTGCACATTTTTTTTTTACCTCTTTCCTGCAACAGGCTATTGCAGCAAGGGGGGGAAAAGGAGTAGTAAGCGTACACTAAAAGAACTCAGAAATTTCTGAGCATGAAAAGTTGAAAACTTGCTAGAAATAAATCAAATTGTGAGAACAGGAACAGTCAAGACTCGACTGAATTTTTCTGAGAAAATATGACGTACCTCCTCCACCTCCGTCTACTTCCTGGAGGACGTTGAGCGCTCAGGTTTTAGTCAAACCCATTTTGCTTCACATTGTCTCTGCTTGAACAGATAAATATTTGATGCTGCACAGTTTGACAGCTCAGCCGTCCATCTTTTGAAATGACTTTGTCCCAGAGATCCGGGCGCCGTTCGGGCTGGGCTCCACGCCGCGCGCAGGAGGGCCCCTCCATTTTATCTCTACGTAGCACAAATGGATGTTGAGTTGGCATCTGGATGGAGGATGATGAATTAATCAGTGTGGGAGGAGAATAAAGTGACAGGTACTCAGCACCTAAAACCTTCCAGCTGAGCTGTACTTGCTCTGATTCGGCCCGTAGGAGCCGGTCTTAACGCGACGCGGGGAGAAGACGGCATCGTTCAACTGTGAAGAGTTTTTTTTTAGCTGATGGCAGATGGGAAACGGAAGGATAGGCAGGAAATAAGATGGCAGCTCATTAATCAGCCCAATAACTTCACACTTTCTGCTAATTTCACCTTCTTCTCTGAAACCTTTCTACAGGTTTGTGCTCACATTGGAGCAGGAGACTTTGTTTTTAAATGTAAAAGCATTTTAGGATTAAAAACATGAACTGAAGGATTGTGTGACAGTGTTCACTGATTTGATCCTCATCCTGATGTTAAATGGATCCGTATCAAAATAACAAGTCGCAGATCATCTCCCAGGTTAGCAGCTGAATTTAGTAGAAATGATCTTTCTGCATGTTAAATATTTTATTGCGAGGAGTACCAAAGTAATGGAGAACCAACAGATCCAACAGTCATAACACCAGTGGTCTCCAAGCTTATTTTGTTAAACATTTAGCTCCAAAAACATCCAGCTATGCAGCTTAATAAAACTAAATGTATTGCTGTATTTCCTGTAGGCAAACCCAAAGTGGAGCTGAGCTACGATAAGATGTACACCGTGACGAGCCGGGTGACGTTCGCCGTCAGTAAGGAGGACGACGGCGTCCCAGTCATCTGCATCGTGGAACATCCTGCGGTCAAGGACTTCCTGGCGCGCAAATTCCTGGAGGTGCAATGTGAGTCCAGCAGCTTCCCACATATAATCCTGTTAAAACAAAAAGCTTGGTTTTTATCTCCGTTTTGTTCCCATAAGTGTTATAAAGGCAGTCAAATACCTGTTTTCACTTCACCTTAGTGCACTCTCTGCATTAGCAGCTCCACTTTTTAAAGAGGGGTTCTGTGGAAGCAGCATAATGCAGCAGAGAGTGTTACCTCTGCAGCTTCTGACAGTTGAAGAAGGCTTTGAACGCTGCTTTTGTTTTTAATAGCAATGCTGCAGTCAGTAAATGTTGCTTCGTCCAAATATTCAGCACCGCAGTCTGTTTACTTTTAAAAATGGCTCCTTTTACGGGGCTGAAAACAGACAGAGCAGAACCAAGAGGAAAACCAACCAGGCAAAAATTATATGTTTCAGTCTGATGTTCAGATTTGTAATAAACCAGTTTTCATGTCTTTATCACTTCAAACTTTTAGCTTTTTTTAATTGTAACCTAGATCTTTTTTTTCTTTTTTTTTTTTTTTTGTTATTGGAGGTGAAACATTTAAATAAAAACCTAACGTGGCTTGTAGGTTCTGTTATCCATCAACTACAACTATGGTGGCATATTAGGGCCATTATAGACAAAAATATTAAAAGACAGGAGTGAATTTTCACCAAGAAACTGAAAATTTTTTAGATTAATTTCAGAAATTTTCTAGAAAAACAAGGAAATTTATGAGCTTCTAAAATAGAAACATTTTGCATTGCTGAGTTTAAAATTCAAAAATCATTCAAGAAGATACTAAGATTATTTAAATTAATCTCAGAAATCTTCTAGAAGAAATTTGAATTTCAAAAGTGAAAAATGTTTTCACTTTTGAAAAAAAAGTGAAAAAATGTTTCTGAGATGTTTATCTCAGAAACATTAGGAATTTTATTGAAAAAACAAGGAAATTTCTCCACTCCAAAAGTCAAATATTTGCTACAAGAAACTCAGAAATATTTATATTAATCTCAGATATTTGATAAGAAAAACATAATAGTCACTGAATTGAAAAAGTCAAAAATTTGCTTAAAAAGTGAAATTTTGAGATAAATTTCAGAAATTTTCTAGAAAAAACTTGGAAATTTCTTGGTTTCAAAAATGTTTGACTTTGATTAATCTCAAAAATTTTTGGTGGAAGTTTACTCTTGTCTCTATCTGCAGTGTCTTTTCCATGCTGTCGTACTCAAAGGAGGGAAATAAAGATAAAACACTCACTGATGTGTTGAAGATCAAATCTCATCAGATCACATAAATGTGAGGTTTCCTAAGCAGAAAAGTCATTTAAAAATTCAGTTTTCTTTGAAGATTTAAAGTCAGCTCCATGTTCCGGTGGAGATGTGATCAAAAGTGTCTGATCCAGAAAATCTTTGGATTTCTTTAATTATGAATGAATACACAAGGTTCTGATGCAGTCTGGAAAAATCTGGAATTAGATTCCAGTGTTTTCCAAATCTGAATAATATTAGAAAACAAATAAAGAAATAATATTTCTGATCAGAGTTTATATATTCAGAACAATCCTGGAGGAAACTCAGTTTTTCTCCAGTTTTGTTTATGTCTGTAAATATTCATAAAATATAAACTGATCAGTTTCTATGATCTGATTTGCAGAAATGTGTTTAATTTAGGGGCAGAATGTTGATTTCCCTTTTTTTTCACTTTGAATCCCCAACATTTGATCAAAGTTGATCTCACTGCATGCGAGTTGCTCCCAGTTTGAGCTGGAAAACTAATCACCCTCCATCCATCAGGGATCAAACGGCAACACTCGCACTTTTGACGCGTTGCGAGTGAAAGAGGAACACACCCCGGCGAGTTCGTCGACATCAAAGCGCCTCCGTGTCCAAAAAGGACAACACGTAGACAAAAAAGATGTCAAGCCTCCGCGGGGGGGCGGCAGCCGCGCCATAAAGAGAAAACCTGATGAGGACAAACACAAAGGATCCACCAGCCAACCGCTCGGAAATATTCACCACGATCAGACCAACTTCTGCAACTTTTACACCCTACAAATGAAACTCCAAACTGTTGCACTGCTTTTTGAAACTTCTAACTCTAGATGCATTTACTGTAGGAAATGTGCTGTTATTTTTAAAGAATCACAATTTTCTTTCTAGCTTGAGGATTTAAAGTTAAGATGAACATTTAATTTTGCATATATTTTTTTCCATGGGATGGAAAATGATGTAAAAAACACCAAAAAGGTCATAAGACGTAAAAACATTACTAGTACTTTCCAACCGAAAGAACCATTTTACTCTCACACCAACCAAATAAAACTCAAAAATATCACACAACTATTGAAAAAAGACAACTTATAACTTCAGATAAATCTACTATTGGAGATTTTATTTCTATTTTTAGAATTAAAAGTAAAGACAAACATAAAACATAGTAAAAAGAAGATGGATATATGTTTCTGTGGGATGGAAAATTAGGTAAAATATAGAAAAAGCACATAGATTCCAACTTAATTGTGAGAAAAATAGATCTAGAAACATATTGCTAATACTAATAATACCACAACATTAAGTTGTGGAAACTCAATGCAAATCCTGTGTGAATAAACTTCTAAAAAACTGTGAAAAACCTGCATTAAAAAAATGCATTCACCAATTAGTGCACACAAAATAAACATTACAGACTAACAGGAGATTCAAGGATTTCTCAGACATGCATGAAAGAATCAGTTAACACTGAGTGTGCTTTTGTTGAAAGAATAAAATTATAACATGATGGCAAGCTCAGAAAAAGTTGATTTTACATGACACTGGCCCTTTAAGGCTGTCAGGGAAAGTCAGGCCAGCATAACTGACCGACTTCCTGCTTTCTCAATGTTTTTTTTTAATTATTATTATTAAAACCTTGTTATCTGGCTGTGATGGTGAAGATGATCTTCAGAGTCTTTGTGTCATTTTACCAAATCACAGATATTCCTGAATCAATGCATAGCAACGACGGATGTCACGATAAGTCATGTGATTTCCAACCCACGAACACACGTCAACAGAAACTCGCTGAAGGAACTGTAGGCTGTCAGAGCGACCTGGAGACGCCGGGCGTCCTTCATGTTTATGGGTCCGAGATGACAAGGTCAGACGAGTGGAAGCAGGAAAAAGTTGCCTCAGAGTCTGAACTGCATGAAAAAGCCAAAGGGCTGCTGAGTGGATGCTGGCGAGCCCACTGAGCTGGCGGCGCGCCCGCCTGCCGTCCATCAGCAGGAAGCGGACAGACGGACAACCAGGCTTCTGTTGTTTATGGCTGAGGAGGTCGGACGGCCTTTTGTGGAGCTTTACTGCCGTGGCTCAGGCCTGATTAAAAACGCCAGGATCAAACAGGAACCTTTAGGCCACAACAAGAGCGGTTTACATCACCGGCAGGAAGTTATGATTCCTCCTCTCTGCAGACGTTCAGATCCAACCCAGATATTTTTCTCTCTAGGAAGAGGTAGATCAAATCTGAAAACTATTCCATTGTGTGTTTATCAGGAAAAAAGATGCATTCAGTACAGAGCTTTGTAAAAGTATGTACACCCCCTGAACTCGTCACCAAACACAGACTCCAGTGGATTTTATGCGATGAACCAACACATCGCAGGTGGAACAGAGTGATCCATGTTCTTCTGGGGTTTGTTTTCCCCAGCTCTGAACATCTACAGACCGAATCTTTGGTCCGTTCTTCAGAAAACAGCTCAAAGTCACTCAGATTGCCACAGATTGTTGATTGGATTTGGCTATGGACTTTGACGAGACGTTTTAGCAACAAGGCAACTCAAAGTTGTTTACATACAAAAAAAAACATAAAACAAGAAGAAATATCTCTTCTCTTTCTGCATGATGTCTCCTTTATGGGATGGGTCATACCTCCCTGCAGTGGTGGGAACTCTTCCGCTAATGTGCTAACAGCTGCAACAGGGGCGATGTCACACAGTGTGCACGAGAGCGCAGTCAGTGCTACACAGCTCCGCAGTAAACTGGTTCACATTGTTATCTAAAGACAAAAACAGATTGATTATAGAAGCTGCTGTTAGCACCTTATGCTAGCAGTTAGCATTCTATGTGTCTATCAGTGTAGCTTTAGTTTTACTCTGAGACTACCAACATTTCCAAATGCCCCACATGATCCGTGATGGTTGAATGTTTAAAGTAAGAAACCAGAACATTTTGCTTAGCCTTCCTGTTATCTGCAGAAGTTCCTCTCTCTGTTGCTTAGAAACGTCTTACAACTTTTCTTCTTCCTTTAACTTCACCTGAAGCCGCTTCCTGAGGCTGAAAACAGCTACATTTCAGTGTAGCAACTTCACACTGAAGAGTGTTAAATTTGTTAAGTAGAAACTTAACTGTGGTGCTTTTACTGGCAGGAAAAAAGTAGGGTTTTTGCTTTCTGACCTACCAATCTTTGAGCTTGCCACTAAAGACTTTTTTTCTAAGTGTGGTTGATTATAATTTATAATGATGTAGTGTTTAGTGTATTCTTAGAAAACATTTTGTTTGGAATATCTCAAATAAGAAGCGTACCACCCTGGAATGTTTGCAGTTTAGCTTTGGATTTATTGGCTTCTCCATCTGTTGGATGGAATCACATATGAACTTTCCAAAATGAGGCTTAAGTTCTGGTTAGATTAAAACATCTTCTTGTTTGGTCCTTCTCCCAATATAATATGTCCACAGTTTAAGCTTCTCTGGCTCTGAAGTGCCATCTTCTGTTTTCTGGTGGAACTTTTCCTTTTGCCCTTTGCAGGTTGACTTCTGGTGAGGCCCAGCTAACGTTTTGACCCCTAAAGGTTTATTCCATGCTTTGGTTTGCGGTTCGTTTAGAATCCGTTTAGGATGCAGCTCCAGAACAGCTGTCCACGGTTCAGAGAGCAGGAAGTGTAGAGGAAAAACGCCTTGAATGTAATTTTATTGTTTATGTCAAGCTGATTCCACCGAGGCTAAGCTGGTGCTGCTTGTTGTTTTTGTTGGTTTCTCAATAAAGGTTCCTTTGAGCAGCATAAAATTGACCGCCTCTCACTCAAACGCAGCCGAGGCGAGTCATGGATGTTGCTCTGATTGTTGCATCTTTTGTTATGTCTGTTGGGAACCTCAGATTGCTCGCTCTGTTTGCTTGAAGCAGCAGCTTTTCCACACATTCTGCTCCTTGACACATCAAGTCCTTGAATGGGCTTCCTCATTTTGCGTTTCATCTTTTAAAGGATCCAGATTCTCCATCGTCTTTGATTTCGACCTAAAACCAGTAGACGCTGTAAATGTACGCAAAACTTTCGAAATTCTGCTAAAAACAAAAACATTTTTTGTAATTGTTTTTGTGAAAATCCCCCCCACAATTTTGCAATTATAGTGTTTCTATTAAACAGGAAACAAATTTAAAATCACATGTGAATAAATTTGTTCAAGTTAAAAAACATGCATCACCATCTTGCTCTTACCACTTCCTGCATTTCTCCACCAATGATTCATGTGATGTGGAAAAATGTTTCCATTGTAATTTTGTGAAATAAAAAAAAATAAAGAACACCTCACTGCAGGGCAAAAACTTTTTTTTTAAAATTTATTTTCATAATTCCAATTTGTTTGATTTTTTGGTAAATAGAATATTTTTCTCCAGAGTTCAGTTGTCTTGGTGTCTTGCTCAACACAAGAAGTTTGGTTTAACTTTGCATGATGCGATTTTTTTCTTTGTATTGTACATAAAGTACAATTTTTGGAGCTATCAAGCCTTGTGGGTCTGTTTTTCCCCTTCCTGTGTCTTTTTCTTCTGAGTCATACAATCTTTTCTTGTTTTTCTCTCGTTGTTTCAGACAAACCAGAGGTGAAGATCGTGGTGGAATTTCCTCAGGGTTTGACAAGAGAAGGAGAAAACCTGGAGCTGACGTGTCAAGCCAAAGGCAAACCAAAGTAAGTCACTTTCAAACACTTTTTTCAACCAATCAGCTTTTTCCCAGGGGGGGCCATGGCCACTCCTGCTAAAAACTTGGGGGCGCCACTGCTCTGGGCTGCAGAGTTTCTGCCGGATCTCAGATGATCTGAGATTAGAACGATTTTAACACATCAAAGTTCAAACTGAAAACCACCAACAGAACCCGGAGCAAAAGCTTAGATTTGATTGGCTGAAGAAAAGGAGTCATTGGCACAACCTGTACATCCATCCATTCATTCTTCCATCCATCCCTCCTACAGTCCATTAATCCATTCATACATCTGTTCATCCCTCTGTCCATCCGTTCATCTGTCCATTGTGTAGGAACCTCCGGTGACATCATCTTAACCACGTTTTGACATAAAAACGGTTCAGCTTTGTTTCAGTGAAAATCCCCACTGAGAAAACTGAATGTAGTTTAATTTATTATAAATGTTAAGCACATTGATCTTAATATCGTGTTTAAATAACTGGCAGCAAAGTCATATCAGGCCGAATGAATCTTTCAAGTTTAGCGTTATTTATTAAGCATTATTTTCCTCTTTCTTGTTGAAGTCAGGGACGGTTTTCTTTTCATCTGAAAAAGCTCAAGGCAGCAGCCATTTAAGTAAAAATGACGCCATAAAATAAAGATTTTTCTGAGGAGCACGGTAAGAAGTTTTCTGTGTTTTACCTTGAGTTATTTCTCTGACATACTTCTGCGTGCCAGTGCTGAATCATTCTCCGACTCGGGAAGGAAATTATTTTTTCCCTCTCTTTATAGGAAGCAGTTAATATTAAATAACTCAGCACGCAGCTGCTCAGTACGTACAGTATCTGTAGCAGCTCATAAAGGAGATAAAATATTTCCTCTGTTCCTCTGGGTCCACTGAGTGAGAATCTATCACATGCTGGCCTTAAAACGCAGCTCTAAACTGTCTGCTTCACTCTGCTGCTCTACTGCATTTTCTGTATTATTTCTTAGCATTTTCTACCTAATTTTCCTGCTTCATTGTTCTTTATTGACAGCCTCTGAAGCCTTCAGAAGCTTCACTTTTTTGTTTTTAAACCCTGCATAGAATAATATTCTTAATATTCTGGGCATGCAACCTCAACTTGTACATTTTCAGGTCACATAAAATCATGTAAATGTGCAGAAATTACAGTTTTAATGTCCATTTGATGCTCCGAAAACAGCGCTATGAAGCAAACGTTTTCCCACATTTTAATGAGATATTATGCATCTATTTATGGAAAAGTCTTCACACATTTATGTTTATTTGTGTAAATTACATCCCATTTAAGAGTCGTGGCTTTCATGAATTAAATATTGTTCGCTAAACTAGTGGTAACTTTTACTAAACTTGTTTTTAATTTGTTCAGCTGTCAGCACTTATACCATAAAATCCTGTTGCTGTTGAATTAATAATTGATAATCTATGTTATTTTTTGATAAAGTTACAGTAAACCTCTTTGTTTTGACGGTTAATCACATAAAGCAAGTATCCATGAAGTGGTTTGTAGTTTAGTTCAGTTTCTTCTCTTTGATAATTACAAACGTACAGCATGTTCCCATGAACATGGGAGTATTTCCATATTAATTTAGTTTTGTTTAGTTCCAATGACTAACACCTCAGGCAATGACTAACACCTCAGGCAGTTACAAATAAATATTGAGTGTATTTAGACTTCTGGTTGCTGAACTTAGACTAAAGCATCTTTAAAGCCAAAAAATAGGAAACCATAAACCTGTTCTGTTTATCTGAGGTGATTTACAGATTTGCACTCTGCTAAAATCTGACTCTCTTGCTCATTTTTAAATCATATGTTGTGTCGACGATTAGCAACCTAACTAGTTAGCAACCACAGCTAGTTAGCAGCCATGCTACCGCTAAGCAGCACAGATCATACTTCTCAGAAAAATGGAGCGAGTTCTCTTCCTCTAACCTGGAGGTCTTCACATTAAAACCTTTTTGAGTTTTGTGCCTCTGGTAAGGCAGAGTTTGCCATTTCACAACTTGTTTGGCCTTTTAGAGGACTAACTCTTTTTCAGAAATGTCAAAAACCAACTTAAGTAAGTGTAAAAATCAGTTTATTTTTTTAATTTAGCCATTTCCATTAATGTTTAATGAAGCAGTACTTCAAAAGGCGCTTAAAACTTTTGATGTAAACACAGCTAGTGACAAAGCACAAATCCCTCCTTCTTACCAAGCAAGTGGCAACAGTGTACAGATAACTACTGCAAGCTGTTGACGTTACAGCAATCCCTCACATGGAGCAAGCACGTGGCGACAGCTGAAATGAACAACTTCCATATAACAGGAAGAACCTGATTAAAAATCTGGTTTGATTTTAGATTTGCAAATTGGTAAATTACAGATATAATATTGTTGCTATGGCCGATAACCGATATTTGCCAATATTATAAAGATTTCATTACTGTTTCGAACCCATTGGAAAAAAAGAAGAGCCCAGAAACAAACGGCAACAAGATAAAGATAAATAAATTACTGAACTGATTCAGATATTTTAAAAATGACTGATATTGATCAGTACCGATGTTAGTGCTGATATATTGTGTATCCCTATAACAATAAATAATTTTTACTGGCATTTACAAATTATTACATGAGCTCCTGGTCTTTCCATCTGTGACCGTATTTTCATTTTAAAGGATAAAGTTGCAACTTACAAATAGTCAAGTACACAGTTAATGTACTGTCTGCAGCTTTAAAAGCATTCAGCATCCATATTGATCAAAAAACAAGTTATATTTTTAACTTCTTTAATGTGACAGCCATAAGTTTAGCAACTGATTTTTTTGGACCTTTTCCTCAAAACTGAAAAAATAAAATCAGCAATCACTTCTTTAAACACGGCGTTTTCAAAAGGAGTTTCCATCGAGGATATGAATGTATAAACTGTTTTGACAAATGCAGTTAAATGTTGAGTTGTAGCAGAAACAGTTGAATCTTTTTTTTTTTTTTCCCCTCATGTTGGAAACTTACTGAGGCTTTTATTGGCAATAATTGATTCCTGCAAATGTCTGTCGGTGTCGTGTGAAAGCTCCTGTCCGTCTCTCATTAGGCAGCCATTTCGTACGTATCAGTGGCGAACGCAGGTGTTGGTTTGCTCAGATGACAGGTCTGTGTGATAGGAGATGTAATGGAGTGCAAATACAGCCATTAGCGAACGGGGGAGAATAAAAGAGCGAGTGCCTCGGGCAGAAGTCCCGCTGGACGGTTGAGGCCTCCGTATAGCTGGCAGTGTTTGCGTCGCTCCCGTTAATTTGTTGACGAGGTCGCTCAGATCTAAACAGAACAAAACAATCATTGGATGATGGTGGAGTTGTGAATATTATATGAAAGTGACCTAATGAGAAGAGAAACTGCAGCAAACAGAAAAACACAGAGACGTTATCGCTTCTGTTGGTTTTAAATGTCACTTCAAGGCAATTTATAAAATAAGAACAAGTTAATTTAATCATACATTAACTCCAATTGATCCCAGTTATGAAGTCGTGCATTTATTGCTTATTAAGAAACTGGAGTACTTTCTACAGATTCCATTTAACATATAATTACACAATTTGACATTTTGAAAATAAATTTGTTTAATGGAAACAAGCCAAATTCCAAAAAGCAATTATTTGATTAAAAAGTGTTGGCGCCAGGATGTGCTAACTAATTGGTTTATTTCACAAAACAGTGAAATAAACCAATATCTGCAATACAGTCACTTTTTTCGCATCACATGATCAACAACAGGATGTTACTACTGGCGAAAACCACGAGGAAGAAGACAACAGGAAGTAGTTGGATGCATGTTTCTTAATGACTTGAACAAAGTTATTAACATGAGATTTTAATTGCATTTCTTATTTAATAGAAACATTGCAATTGTGAAATTGTGTTTTCTTTTACATTAGCAGAGTATTGGCGAAGTTTTGGACACATTTGTGAAAGAAACACAGCAACTTAGTGGTAACTGCAGCTCCTTTAGTGGCTTCAAGTAGACCTGACCTTCCTGCATCATTTACGGCGCACGCCTCTGCTGTGGCAGCTCTATGCTGTCGGGATCCTGTTCTGTGTTCATTTATCAACAAAATGAGCAACAATTTCAGTTCAGAGCCTCCTTTTTGCTGCTAAATTATTGAATAAGTAGATATATTTATTCAATAATTAAGAAGCAAATGGAGCTGATGCAGATTGAGATTTTTTGTGTTTTTCTTTATGTGAAATTTTCAATAACAAATTTGTTATTGAAAACAATAAATGTTTTTTTTCTTTTGTTAGCCATATTGTTTTTTTGTTCTGTCATACTAAGTAGAGCCAGAAATCCCCAGTGACTTTTTGCTCAAAAGCAGACTCAGTAATTAAATTGGGCTAAATCCAATGAAGGGTTTTCAAGGACAGCTCTGGAAATAAAATAAAACTGATATCCTGACCAAGTTAGGAAACTGTTCTACTGAGACTCTGTTTTGGACCTTTGCTATTAAAATACGTGTTAATTTGTTGTTGAGCAGGAAAAAAATTCACCAAAATGTTATTTAGCATTTTTAGCTTGAGATAAAAGTTTGGACATCACTGCATTAAAATATTTGAAAGTAAAGCTTCAAATGTTTAAACCGTTATTCAATGAAAAAAAAAATCATTCATATTTTCATTAATTTATGCATTTTTTTAATAAAAACTCCTCAAAATAATTTTTAATCAGTTAAAATCCAGTTGAGCAGGACGCGGCGAAGTGAAACTCAGCTGAAACCTCCAGCTTTATTCCAGACATCCTAATCTGGAGCTGCCAGGGACGGTTTTTACTCTATGATCTGCTAAAGCGGGACACAACATGAACACACAGACACAAAACACACAGATCAAAACACCATGTACCCCAACACACACACACACACACACACACACACACACACACACACACACACACACACACACACACACACACACACACACACA